ACCAGATTAAAGAACAATAAACAAATACAGAAGGAAAGGGAACAGCTCATCAATAACAAAGGCCTGCATTTGAAAGCTTTTGGCTTAGTGACTCTCACATCTCCTTCCAAGCAAAGCAGGAGTCCTGCAGAGACAGGAATCCAGAAGATAGGGAAATATTAAAATAGTAAAAAGCAGAATGCTTAGTAGAGCCTGTGATGCCTGATGGAAAGAAGGAAGATTTTACTGCACAATTGGTGATAATTTCCCCACCATAAGATCCTTGCACATATTCCTTGCTCCAGGTCCTTGGCTGGTTTGGAAAATTCTAATTATTTTACGCTCAGTACTACATGTGTGATTGTTCTTTGGAAGAACAAAAAAACTTAGGTTTACAGCTAGACAATGGAAAAAAGTGCCTCAGAAATAATGTAGGAACTAAATGTACCCTTCACAGTACACAGCCAAATAATATATCATATGTTGATCTGGAAAGCTAACTTGGTATTTGTTTCCTTCCAAGATGCTGGTTATTTTTTATTATTATTTTCAAAGTATGTGCGGAAGGGAGACGTTTGCAATGGATACTGAAACTGTGCAATTTGATGTAATTACATCCCCCCAGGTTTAATGAAGGACTTTAAACCACAATTTATCTTTTGATAAATAGACCCTCTGCACAGAATGTTTATTAGATTGACAGGAGAATGTACTCTGCAAGCTTTCTGTCTTCCCACATGACTCAGATGAATCTTAATAGGAGCAAAAAGCTTTTATTTGCACTGTAATTTCACTGGAGGATCATATCCTTTAAAAACTGGCAGACACTTGTACATCTTGATTGCAAAACACATACTCAAGAGCAAAGAAACAAGCAGGAGCTGTTGTTATTTGGCCTTCACTGAGTGTAGCAATTCTTTTGTTAATTTTTGCTATCAGAGCTCCTCAGACTCCCTTTTTGAACCCAATAGCCAGTCGACTGTGTTGGGTGCTTTATCTGAAAGAGATTCAAAAGTGAATCATTTGAGTTATTTATTATAGGAAATAAATAGCATTTTCCCTTCTTAATCAAATATAAAGCACATGTTATAAAGTTGTATCTGTTGCTGCATCAGTCTGATTAATAAGGCAATGCCTAATTATTTAGAAGAATGTTTAAAAGCTCTCACTGAAATGAATGGAGATCACATAAGGGCATGAGCATGTGTTAACAACCCACTTTTTACCAACAGTGTTAACCCAAGAACAAACCATGGGTTAAAATTCTGGGTTATTTTCTCCCTCAGCAATCCAGAATCCTATATTTGGATGCCATGGAGTAAAATACAGAAATGGGGCATCCCTGAGTTAGCAGAGCAGAGCAGAAGCAGTTGAATGGTAGTGAGCCAGCACACCACTTGTTCGCTCCCATTTGTTTCCAGACAACCGATGGGTAACAAACTGCAGCTGGGTTTGCATGCCATAAGAAGTCAAGATGATTTCTTACCCTTGTTGGTCTGTCATAGCATCCAGTCCCAGTTGTGGCATTTCTGTGTGGTACTTTTAGTTTTCTGAAAACATGGAAAGAATCAACACTCCATTGTGAGGTTTCCATACTTCACTGCAGCTTCTCTGTTTGTTCAAAACTTGGATCTCCATTTTACCATTGCTGGTATGAGAACATCACTGAATCCTGCAAAAAGAGGGAGAGGGTAAATTCACAGAAGGAGAAGGGAATTGTAGCAAAATTGTTTCTTATGATTTAACAAAACATCTTTTTGGGAGCTGGAACAGCTAGGAAACATTGCAGGGAGTCAGGAACACTCAGGTACAGGAAGAGGGAGCACCTGCCTCAAAACCTCAGTGGACCAATCAGGATGAGGCTGCGCGGGTCCTAGGGAACAATGCAATAAGGAAGGGGATTGGGCCACAGTGGCACCGGAATGCATGGTGAGAGCAGGATAGCAGAATAGGGGGTGCACAAAAAGTTTGCTGTCCAGGGAACGACATGATTGTCTGATTGGTACGTTTGGTCAGAAAGCTCTGCATTATGGAAACAGCGCAGGGTTGATTACTATGATGAGGAAACCTAGGCTGTGGGTTTGTTAATCGTGTGAACCCTGTCAACATGATTTGCTGATGCATGCATCCCATTTTGGTCCTGCATGCATCTAACGTTCCATTTTGTAAAATCTCAATATACAGGGTATTTCAGTATAATTTAAACTAATGCAGAAATGGTTATTTGAGAGTGTGTGTGTGTTTGTGTGTTCGTTCATGTGTTCCTTCCAGGATGTGGCCCTCCTCAAATCAGTGCACAGTTAAAAATGGGCTTTTAATGTAGATACATATGGATTTGAGCAGTGGCCAACTTTTGTCTGAGCTCGTACAAGCCAAAACATACATGAGACAAACATATAATGATAATTAGCTCTGGGCTATGATGTGGCATCACCAAATATCATAATCAGACATGATGAATGGAAGGCTATTTTTGCATGATGTTTTGGATTATTTCTTTGGTCATAACCAACCAGGTTGCCCTGTTAGTGTATGCAAATGTTATTCCTGTGTATTGGAAAGTGATTGGAAAGTTTGGCATTAGAGTCAGATATCATTGCACTGTATTTTTTTATTTTAAAAATTATGCATCTTTTTCTTTCTGCTCTGCCTGGGTGGCTCTTTGTTTTTTTCTATTTGCCTGTGTACATCCACAGTGATCCAGTTCATGCAGTCACCATGGCTCATGCCAGTGTGTGCCAGGCATCATTTGCCTAAGTAGCTGCCTGGGCATGACCTGTCGTCTCATTCAGACCTGGTCAGCGCGGGTGTTTGAGAGGGAAGAACCCTCAAGTAACCCACCAATAGTGCATAACAGTTCCGATTAATAAAATAATATGTAGTGAATTTAGAAAGCTATATACCAGTCTCACTGAAATAAATGGGTGTTAGCTAGGGCATGGATCTGTAATCAAAGCCACCATGAAAATCAGTTAGTCTGGTATTGGGTACATTCTTGGAGGATTATGCTGCAAATCTTTATGTACTATTTATCCTCAAGGATGCTCTGAGTATCTTAGATACTCTGCTCTTCAGGCAACCAAGAAGTGTATAGGACCTCGGTCCATTCTGGTGGCCAGGGGTAGGGGGGGAGAGGAAATCAAATCTGGATTCAGTATCTCCACTTTCCTTAAGTGTATTGGCAGTTGTTTTTAAGTGGACTTTTCCAATCCCAGGAGTTGTACAGTGAGAAATCCAAAAAAAGATGAGGAAGTTGTCTTGATAGTTAGTCCATCATTCTCTTCTAAAGAGATTGTAAGGTATACTGTGTTTTCAGCTGCACCTTCTGCAAATGAAGTACTTCAAGGTGGAATGGGGAAGGAATACATATGGTTGATAAGCCCTCTCACATTAAAAGAAGTTTGAGAATTAACCCTAATAATATCCCCTTAAAACTAATCCCTCCACAGTGTGCATAGCTTCCATGGCAGATGGATTAATCTAGGAAATCTTGAGGAGTTTGAACTTCACTGCCAGATTTTATCAAAGCTAGTCAAGTAATGTTGTTTAACCATGTGAGATTCAGAAGTGCTCAGAATTTTAATTGTAAGAGTTCAAGTTGACCACCCCCAGCCACACACACACAAGCTAAGATACTGATGCTGGCTGACCTGAGTGTAAACTGGATGATCATATGCCATTCTAATGACAACATTTATTATCAACACTGTTGATTAAACTAGTGATGCAAGCACATTTGTTTTTCTTTTGTTCATGGATGCCCAAAGGCTGCATTTCTCAGAGACCTGCTGCCATCTACTGGATCACTGATGCCCTGCGCATGTTTTACAAATGTGTGCCTTACTTGACTACAGCATATACACTCTCTTTCCAAAGTAAAATGAAATTAGACAATCTTGATGTGGTGATCAGATGGCAGAGCCTTTGTTAACACACCATGTAAGAGCAGGTATTTTAAAGAGCCGTTTAAGGGGAAGAAAGTATTCCTTGGCTTTCTTCCCCTTTAAAATTGGTGTAATTCTTGAGCATTATGATTTCATATAGAAGCAAACAATTTTGTATACATAGCTCAGAAAATTAAAATTGATTTTACTGGGTTTTTAAAACTTTTTAAAAAACATATTCAATATACTTTTGAGATACTGTTTGAATGGAAGTCACTTCCCAGAATCATGAGAACTTCATATAGGGAAACTGGACAATAGAAGGGGACTTTTTATTGTTATACTGCAGAGGAAAATATTAAATTTAAAATTCCTTGCATTTCATACTTTTCAGTTAGCCTCTATACTCGGAGTTGCATCTTGATTTTTCTTATCTACTATGGTATACATTTTGGATTGCTTCTATCAGTTTCTCCCCAGATTTTATCACTCTAATTTCTAAACATGATTGGTATGTTTCAAATCCCTCACTTTAAAAAGTTGACCACAATGCATATCTCTGATATTATTAAAATTTCACAAGCATTTTTAGATAATAAGATGCATAGAGTAGAGGGAATGAGGAAAGGTAGCTGGAAAGATTACAAAATGTTATATTAACAATTGCTGAATGTATGTAAAAGGATGGATTTGATTTAGTTTGCTATGCTCTTTATACTAATTCAGCTCTAAGTTATGTCAAAACCTTTAATCACACACACAGAGAGACACAGAAAACTGTTCTCCTTTTACTAAGTATGCAAACCTTATTTTGCAACTTATGGATAACACTACATTTCTTTTAACTGAATTAGTAAATTTGTCCAAATACTTTCTCCACACAGTTTACTTCCAGTATTTTAAAAAGACAAATACTATACACATTATATACAGAACATGAGCTAGATATCAATATGTGTATATAGATGTGTGAGTGTATGTGCGCACATATATGTGTGTGTGTGTGTATAGGGTGATGGTCAGTAAAACATACACACTGTGTCTGCTTGATTAATCCATATATTTACATTTCAGAAGTCCTTTGATGGTATTTGCTTATGTAACATTTCTCTCCATTCCCTTTTCTTGTCTCCTAAGTACAAATTACGTGTACTGCCCAAGCTTGCTGCGGAGCTGAGCAAATACATGCCAGAGAAGGTAGCAGAAGATTCCACTAGCATCCTGAGATCACCAATGCCTGGTGCAGTGGTGGCAGTCTCTGTCAAGCCTGGCGATATGGTAAGAGGTTTCCTTCTTTCTGTATTGGCTTAAGTTTAGGAATAGTCTTCACAGGGGCAATTCACACACTGATTTGGGAAGGTGGGGGAGGTCACAAAATGCTTTTTTGCATGCCTAAAATGTGCACTGATCAATATGGCAAACATATATTTATAAATATGACTGTCCCTTAGGTACACTCATCAGAAAGTCCTGATTGACTGCATTTATCTGTTTTGTGTATATCTGGTGGCAAACCTGGTTTGATGCACTGTCATCTGTAAGGTTCACCACAATCTGATTACTCATAGGCCAACTTTCTTTTGTAATGTTGCTGTGTAAAGGTACACACACCTGTGTGTCAAAAATAATGACTTACGCACAATTCCTTCTCCAGTGCTTACCAAAGAAAAAAAGAAAGAGATAAGCCCAATGATCACTGAGCTAATTCAAGTTCTGTTAAAATGTAGCCAATAAAACCTCTTTCTTGCAATATATGAAACATTGATTGCCTACTGTATTCTTTAATTACAAAAAGAAATTTTAAAACTTGCACTTGGATGCCGTTGGGACCATGGGACATTGATAATTATGCTGAATAACACAAAGTTGAGTTTACTCAAAAATTAATGTATTGCACTTATAAATCTAAAAATCTTGCCTCAGTTGAAAGCCCAAGCCCATCATGCATGAAACAGTGTGCAGGTTTTGTTACTTTTGAGTTTTGCTGACCAAAATATATGGTTTTTCCCCCTTTCAAAGTTTAAATGCTCTTTCTCAAGTTATGAAGAAGAGTTTTAAGAACTGACAGTTAAATTTTTTGATCAACCTTGACAATACTTTTCCTATTAACTCAGTGATGGTTAGAAAACTGACCACTGACTTCCCTGCCTGCCTTGTCAACGTGAAATGTGAACTCTGCTTCTTCCTCCATGCAGTATAAGTTGAAAAAGAGCGCTGAGCAAATACATTTGTGTGTGAGGGTGTATGTGTGTGAGAGAGAGAGATTTCAAGATCAACCATGCCTTTGTACTAAATGTTTTATATTTTCATGACATTATAGCAAATGTAAAGTAACAGGATACTGTGAGGTATCTTTGCATGAGTGTGTTTAGTGTATATTTTTACCTACTTGAAGAAGTAGAACCATGACGGGATGGGCCTCCAGCCAGGAAATTAAAATGGAGAAAACATTCTTCCCATACAATCAAACATTCCAAAAGAAGTGCAGTCCAATACCAAACAAGTTGTTAAATAATGAGCGGAGATTTCTTTCTTGCTCTCTCCCTTCCCCCCACATCCTTTTGCCTGTGGGTTTTTGCTGGAGGCACTGAGAAGCAGAGCGTTTGAACAGCACAAGCTTATGTTCTGCCGACTTGGATTTGTCAATGGTAATTGGGCAGCTTTAATTGCAGAAACACGTTTGTGGTGTTGAAAGGGAGTTTAGCGTAAATCCTTCCTTTCCAGAACTGATGTCAAAAAGTTTTTTTTGAAAGGAGAGGAGGTTGTATCAGCTATCCAGACTGAATGAGCGGTGAGATGGCACAATTCAGCTTGCATGTTTTGGCTGTCCATCAAGACAAGGATCATTATCATGGCTGTTCAAAGCCTCAAAGAACAAGGGACGGGACTCCTACACACTCGCTTTTGTCTCACTGTTTGAATGTGTCCCAATTTTGTGTTTTTCTCCTTTACTTTTCAGACAACCTAAGGAGTACTTAAGTAGCCTGTTTATTTTCTAGAGTGTTTACCAGTTAATAATATAATGAGGTGTAAAACAATATTACTTGAAAATGGCAAAACTCTTTTTAAGCTGAAAGTTAAAACTAGAGAGTACTAGAAATTTTTTTGTTTGCGAACTCCTTTGAGGGCAAGAGCATTATTGGGTTGTGCCTTACAAGGAAGCTTGTAGTTTCTAGAATGCAGCATAATTATGAAAAGAAGACTCTGAGAGGAGGTGCAGAGGACGAGCAGGAATCTTTCTTCAGTCCTAACAAGGGTTTTCAGCTGTATAGTGGTGCTTGTAGGTTATCAAGGTGTCTGTTGTGTTTGCACTCCCTTCAAACACATGATTTTTGCTAAATTGTTTTTGTTCAGAGTTGTTAGTCTGAAAAGCCGATTGGTGTTTGGCAATTGTAGGTAGGTAGTTTTAAATTGTTTGTTTTTCACAAAGTTTGCTTTTTGAAAGTAGTATCTACTTAGGAGCAATGAGGAAAACATAGTAAATTGTTGAATTATATGTAATTCTACTTGCTTTTTAGTTACTCCAAGTTTATCTTAGAGCAAAGAAGTGTAGGCTGCCTACACAAACGAACACAAAAAATGAATATTCACTTGAGGAATTCATCCCATTCAGCCCAGAATTACCCACTGGCAAGTCCTTTAGCAGTGGGACCTTCTTTGGGAGATCCAGAGGAGAATTTGAGTTCAGCCCCCTTCCCACATAAATTACCTGAATTCAAGTCGAGCTCCCGCCCTTCCCATTCATGGGGACTGCCTATCATGAAGAAGCCTGCACAGAGGCTTCCTTGCCACCAGGGCGCTTGATCACATGGAGATGTGAAAGTCACATGCAGACCCCTTCACTACGCTGTTCATTTTGCTATTTGAGTGACGGACTGCCATAGGGAGGGGGCAGCCTTGCCTTGCTCCCAGTAGCTACACAATTCCTGTGATTCACATGTGAAGAGGGGATTTCTCCTTTGACCACAAGTCAGATTTTTCTTTGAGTAGAGGATCCCCATGCTCTCCTAGATTTAAATTTGGTTTGCTGTGCAAGAGGAATGTGTGTGTGTGGGGCGGGGGGGGGGGGGAGTACTGTTTGAGAAAAAGCAAGTTCTGAACTCTCTTGGCCACATAGTTCTTTGGATCCTGACCAGTGAGTTCAGGGTTAAGGTGTTGGGTTAAAAGATTCTCAAAAGGAGGTGTTCTGGTCATCACATGAAACTGTTTCCTATCCTAGTTTAATATGTCAGCAGCATTCCAAGGGAGCGTTCTAGCTCCGGTTGTGTACAATTGGTCATTGTGCAACAAAGAAGGGCTCCTGGGGGTAATGTGCATCCCTAACAAAAGGGCTGCCAGCCGATTTGGTAGAGTTTGAATTCATGTTCTGATGTGCCTCTGTATCCTCATCAACTGCATACATGGACCAGAGTACAAATTTACCATTTCTTTCTACTCTAGATTTTGTTCATATATTTGAAACAAGTATATTATTTGCTTATCTGACATCCCTGCATAGTAGTGTCCATTTCCCCAGTTTTTAATATACCAGAACTAATTAAGGATCCCATCTCTATATAAAAAGCAATCCTTCAAATGATTCCTTTAATGTACCACTTACCCCAATGTGCCATTTCGTTAGGTTAACACTTATTCCTAACATGGAATAGCAACATGCTTTTTTTAAAATTGTGGAATTCCATCTCCATGCAGCTCTTATAACAGCCATGAAGGTGCATGGAAAGTGTATTTTGTGAGGAATTTTACCTAGTATTGAAGAATTTGCTCACCTTCGTGTAGGCCTGTAGCAGAAGATGATCACTCTGCTTAGAGTGACAGTGAGAAGATGATAGCCCTTGGTCCATTTTCGAGGCATACCTGTGATGAGGCATGTGTGCTGGCTTCCCATAACTGTGAGGCATTCTCTCCTCTCCCACAGCATCTCAGAAGGCTTTGGAAATGTTTATAAATTTAAAATGCTGCTTTGTGACATCACCACCATCACGGGGCAGGGCAATGAGAATAAGAAACGGAAGTTGTTCAAAAGTCCCTTTGCACATGTGCAGAGACAATTATGCTCTCTGTGCCAGGAGAATAGAATTGAATTTCAGCAGTGAAACAGGTGTGTAGCTTGTGTGAAGGGGAGTGCTGGCTATTTTCATAAAAATCCACTTAGTACAGATTAATTTGTTTGTACATTGGATTGTTAGATATAAGATTTTCTAGAAATATGTCAAGTTTCCACATTATTTTTTTCTAGTTGGAACGTTACCATTAACAGCAAGGTATTAATAACACAGTTTGAAATGGGTAAATACTTATGAGCTAATTATTTCTGTTTACTGTATAAATAAATGATATTAAAATTGCTCTGATAATTCTTATTTTATTGATATTTGTGTCATAAATATAACTTATAATGAAAACTCAATATTATGTTTACATTTACATTGTCCTGAGTTCCAATTTATATTGAAAATGTGTCCTTATAGTTGCTTATTTAAAAAAATGTATAACCATGTTTCAGTCTAATGAAGCTATAATTAGGAACAACATTGTGCTGCACTATTGCACAGATAAATTTTAATTTAAAGTGGACTTGAAAGAAATGTTATTCCACATTTTTGAAATGTACTAGTAGCCCAGTATCCAAAATAAAACATGCAAATTTATTCTACATCAGTTCAGAAGGAAATGCAAATATATTAGTTACATGGAAAATGTACGCATTCAGTCCTATTTAATTTTATACCAGCACCAATCTGCTCTGTATCACTTAATTTAAAAAACTGAAGAAAAATAGGTCTTGCTGAAATTACAAGTAATGTCCAGCCATTGGGCTATTTTTAACATTTTCAAATCCAGCAAACTGAAAAAAAAAACTTAGAGCCTTTCTCTTTCCTTCACTTCAACAAGCACACCATGGGAAATTGATTTCTTGTAAAATGTAAGGTTATATTTTTTTAATGTACTACTTGTTGCTTGTAACCTCCTCCCTTTTCTTTTAACGCCTTGCTCTTAAATTCTGAAATACATTCTCATGGCCTTTAGCAGTGCTTTGTAAAACATTTAAAGCTGGGGAAGGCATGGAAACAGAATGGTTAATTAAGCCAAGCTTTTACAAATAATGTAGCATTGTGATACAGTTTAATAGTCACCAGATATTGATTAGCTGCACTTGTCACTCTCATGAAGGTTATCCTGAATTTCTCCTTTACTTTTCTCCAGTTCAGGCGGAGCTAGGATTTCAAATGAAATTCTAGGGCATTGGTGTTAACTTTATGTCATGCTAAAAATTC